CCCCCCCCCCGCCCCCCCCCCCCCCCAGAACGGCGCGCCGGCCCCCCCCCCCCCCCCCCGCCCCGCCGCCACCTTCCCCACACCTCAGCGCCGCCGGACTACAACTCCCGGCGTGCCTCGCGCGCCTCTTCCCCGCCCGCCTCCCAGCGCGTCGCGCCGCGCGGCATCACGGGAAATGTAGTCTGCGGCGCCGCCCGGCGGGACCACCGCTCCCAGCGTGCCCCACGAGCCGGGGAAGCGCGGGGCGGGGCCGAGGGGACGGGAGGTGTCATGGCAGGGGAGCCGGAGCGGGGGGGAAGGCCCCGGTGAGGGAGTGGGGAGGCGCTAGGGACAAGGCCAGGCCAGGCCAGGCCCAGTCGAGCCCGGCCAGGCTAGGCCTAGTCAGACCAGACCAGACCAGGCCTAGTCAGGCCTGGCCAAGCCCCCGAGGTAAAGTGCGGCTTAGCCCGGCTGGAGGCCGTGAGGGGCCCAGGCCTCCCCCGAAAACCTCTGAGGAGGCCAAGGGACGGGCAGAGCCGTGAGCCGAGGCGGGGCTGGCTCGGTCCGGCCGGCTCGGAGCGAGTCCCCGGGGCGGGGGGGTCGGGGGTTACTCGCCCTACCCGGCTGTGATGGGCCCGGCTGCCCTCCCCAGGCCGCCCGCCGGGACTACAGCTCCCGGCGCTCCCCGCCCCCCTCCCCCGGGCCGTTTCCCCGCCCTGCCCGTCAGGTCGCCTAGTCAATCGCCAAACGGAGCCGCGGAGCTGGGGACTACAGCTCCCGGCGTGCCCGGAGGGGCCGGCAGGTCCCCCGGCGACGGGCTGCTGTGTCACTGCAGGGGGACAGGGCGACGGTGCGGAGGGGGGCGGGCGAGCAGCTCTTTGCCAGCTAGCTAGTTCCCTCCCTGCCTATTCATCCTTGCCTGTTTAATTTTAAGGCAGGAGCTGTGCTTAGACTGTGCTGTGAGTCTCAACGGAAGGCTTTGCTGGAGCGAGGTGGAGATGGGGAGTTCTCTCTTGTCGCAGCAGAGGCCCTGGCCCGGGTCCCTCACAGCCCGTTTATTCCTTTAGTGCTTCACTGACTTTAGGTTTGACTCCAGTGACCTCCTTCTGGTTTGTTCTGGCCTTAATAAGAGAGCTGGGCTCCGAATTTGGGTCCCTAACACAAAGCCCAAGGAAGTAATTTGCCAAGCTGCGGCAAAGTACTAGCATAAGTAATTAAAGCAAAATCACGATCAATGAGAATCATGTCCGGTGATGCAAGCCCTTTATCGTTTTGAACGGTGTGAAACCCAACTAACGTGCCCTGTCCCACCCTGTTCTGCAGGACTGATGGAGAATTAAAAATAGGTGTTGAGGCCTCTGGGAGCGAGAGGGAAGGGTGAAGGCGGTTTTCAGTAGCTGTGACACTGGTACATTTTTTCCCCACTCTTTACACAGCCGAGACCTGTAAGAGCGAAGCCGAGTGATGCCGGCACAAGGATGCTGAGGAGGATGTTCCTGTGGCTGCAGGGCCGGTTTGGCTCACAGAAGGTCCTGTCTGCATCAGCCTTTCTTTGTGGCACTGCAGAAAACCCCCTTTCCCTGGGACTGTAGGTTTCCCTGTCTGCCAGAAACGGCGAGGCATCCTCGGCTGTGACACGTGTGTAGTGACTTGTAGAGCAAAGCCCTTGTCAAGGGGGCCTGAACCCCACCACCAAAGGGTGTCACAGAGGTGTTTAAGCCCCTTTCCTTTACAGCTCTGCCCACCCACTCTCCAAATCAAATGGAAACCAAAACAGAGAACAGCCACGGTACAATGGAGACTGGGATTTTTGAGGGAATCAGGCCCCCGGTGCCATCACTTCCCCAGCAAAGCACCCCTTGGGCTGAAATCCTGGAGGTGTGTCGGGATCTCCCCAGCATTTGGGGTTTTTTTCACTCCTTCCTAAGTCTGGGTCCATTGGAAAGGAAAATCAGCGAGAGTCCCTGCGAAGCACTGAGTGAGCAGGTTAAACCCCCCCCAAAGCTTTGATGCGAGGCAGTCCTCATCCTCTGCAGAGGAAAATCAACAATAACCCCAGCAGAGAGAGGAGGGACCAAGTTTAAACAAGGTCCTGCTCTCACTGCACAGAAGGAGGGAGAAATCTTTGTTCCCCTCACCCTTTGTCCATCTTTTCTGTTTAAGCTAGAGATTCCCGGGCCTGGCTCTCACCCCTGGGCAGCAGGAGTCCTGCTTTCAGCTGTGAGCCCTCTGATTATTTATTTGTCTTACTTTGCAGCTCGTTAGGAGAAATTAAGCCAAGAAAAGCACATGGGGGATGGTAGGAAAAGAGCCCAGCCCAGGAACCCCAACTGCCAGGTCATGGTGGAAGTTCTGGTCTTGCAAATGGCTTAATCTGTGCTTAATTTAATCACAGGTGTTTGGTTAGGCCAGGCCTGCAGCCCGTCATGGTCGGGAGAACCCAGCCTGGCCTGGCCCAAGGTCCCTGCCAGTGCCTGAGCCCCGTCACCCGGCCAAGGAAATCCCCAGCACCCAGAGTTTCACCTGTTTTAGATGCCAGGACATGTTTAGTAGCAGCGCTGAGGGTGGAAGGAGAGCAAGGTGATGATTTACTCATCTGGTGACTTAGTCACCCCCTAAACCCCACGTCGAGCCTGGCCGGGCAGCCCGAGCCTCCTCCCCAGGCACGCAAAGATTTTCCTACGTGCTTAATTTTGCACACTGTGAGTAATCCCAGTACCTCCAGCCCAGGATCTGCAGAACAGGGTATTTCTGAAAAAAAAAAAAAAAAAAAAAGCTTTGCCTGTTCTGCTTTAGATGAAGGGGAAAGCGCACCCACCGCGGCCCGCTGCTTGGGCACAAAACGCTCCCGATTGTTTATTTTCTTTCTTTTTAGGGGCTGGCCTCCCCTTCCTCCAACATAGTCAGCTGTGGCCGGGATGTGGAATTTGGGGGATGCCACTATACTGGTTTTACACTGCTTTTGCAGTGGCTTTACACTGGATACCTCCATTTCCAGGGTCGCAGCGGCGAGCTGGTGGCCAGGCGTCCCTCCGATGTCACGCTGGGGTGGCGGTGTCGGGTTGTGTCCCCGTTCCTCGTGACATATTCACGATTATTCACCAAAATGGAGCTGGAGGCATCCCCAGCGCCGCCCCCCCCCCC